TGAGAATTTAAGATATTTATTTTAGAAGTTCATTGATGAAAGATGACTACATTTCTACAAGACCTTTTTTTTTTCAATTTGCATCTTTGGCTTTAAATCTCCCTGAATGGACTCTCTACTAGCTAATACTAAAAAGAATTTGCTTCATAGAAATCAGGTATGAGTTCGTTTCCATATATTTTCGATTTTAAGCTTTCTAGATGTCCCACTGTACTTATGAGCATGTTTGTGTGGTCATGCACACTATTTATATGGTCTTCTCAATGCAAAAAATGGTTCGTAGACCATTGTGTGCCATTACAGGTTTATATAAAAGATTTTTTTTTTAATATTTTTAGTTTTAGCTTTTTTTTTGTACTTTATTTCAATCTTGTTTTTCTTATTAATGCATCGTAATTTTAAAGTACAATGCTATAATTGGTTAGTCTTTTAAAAGTATATTTTATGTATGTGTAAGTAAGGTGCGTATAGAGTTGTTTCAGATTTTATCTTAAAAGCTCAGTTCATAGAAACTCTCGTAGTCAAGTTGACCAACGTGTTGAAGTAGAAAAGAACACATACTTCACAACATTTAAATGTAATCTATTTACTTCGCCCCTCATGTTATGTGTAGGATGTTGGAATACATGTTCATCGAGAAGTAACAAACTGATATTGCCATGAAGAAAGAGAACAAATAAGTCATGGTTTTCATTTGGATGGTAATACCTTCTCCCTTTTTCTTTTCAATTACAGATCACCTGGAAAGCTGCATTTTGTATATTTAAGTGATTGTATTGTGTGATTTCAGGAGTAGTGGATCTACTGAATATGAAAATCATCCGTTGAAGTTCACTAATGAGGACTGGAAATAATTATTTAGTTTGATAGTTTTATATTGTGAGTGTTACTAGCATAATATTTAGGCTTATTAGATTTTGAAGACATTTATGTTTAAAATATTGAGAATATTGTTGTTAGAAAACCATTTTAAGGAATAATTAGATGGTTCTTACCGGTAAAAAAACAAAATATCATTGTGTTATGTTAAAATAAATATAAAAGACCGGTCCAAAAAAAACCAAAACAACCCCTCCCTTCCACACCCGAAAACTCAATAAAAAAAGAGCATGTAAAGACAAAAAGACTGGATTAATTATTGAAAAACTATTCGTACCTATCGCTTAGCGTGGGTAAACGGCTATTATTATTATTATTATTATTATTATTATTATTATTATTTGTTTAATAATTTATTTATAATTGTGTTTTTTAACTTTTCCAAAAAAAAGAAGCAAATATTCTTATTAGACCAAAGATGTTACAACTACCTCTCAAGTTCAAATTCTTTCTGGATCTTCAAAAATCTCTCAAAACCAAAATGTTTGCTTAATTTCTGGATCTTCACATAACATCCATTATCCATAAGAATCCATATCGATTATCCATATCGATTGAGAAATTTCTAATATAGTTGAATGATTTTCAACAAATTTAACATTAGGGTTGGTTTACATGAACCCCACTCAAACCTCTCAATTACCTTTTTCATGTTTCCAATCCTCTACCTCAAGAAGCCCTCATTTTTTTTTTTTTTTTTTTTAGAAAACGAAACTGTAGCCCAAAGTGATAATTAGAAATCCCTAGTCAATGATTGCATGCTATTTAAAATAAAAAATAAAAAATTGTGATGCCTTTTACTATAAACAGGTTTTTGACCTGGATAGCATATTTGGTGGAACGTATATATGCTTTTAGCACCATTCAAATAAATTATCCTCATCTTTAAGGTCCATATATGTTTTAAAATGAACACTCATGGTTGATTATTTTATCTTCGTTCTAGCCTTCTAGGCATACCTGACTAAATTGTGGCCATATATTGTGTTTTAAATACGTTTGTTATAATCTGGTCCCACAAATGACTAATCATAATGTTATTATCATCATTAAATACGTTTGTTATAATTTGTTTTCTCGAGTTCACAAGATGTAAAAAATGATAGATTTAGACTTTTAACTTTTTAAATACACATGCCACAAGTTTGAGTGTAAATGGCATTAATGACTTCTGACTAATATATTTGATATGGACATTTTGGTCATATTGCTTATTTCCAATCAACGTATTCCTATCAATAATGTCTAATTATATTTATTAGGCGGGTCTTTTAAAGACTTGATACAAAAAGTGTAATACTTTGTGATCATTAAATATGTTGTAAATTATTTTTGTGGATCTTTATGGTCCAAAAAGACGAATTTGGACATAAACTTTTCCAAATACACTTACTAGAAATGTCTTTTTTTTATTAAAAAAAAAAAAAAAAAAAAAAAAAAGAAACTTTGAGGACATCTTTCGCATTAGAAGCATCTTTCATGCCCCAACACCTTTCAAATCATTATTAAAACCTTAAAGTGGAGACTTATTTAAGAATGGACATTTGATCGAGTATTTTATTCTTGCTCATGGTATTTTTAGGATAAAGCTCAAGATCGGGTAGAAATTACATTGAAATAAAGCGAAACACATAAAGTTGTAAACAAATCTTTTGGGATATTAACGAGATTGGAATCGTTGAAACCCACATCTATAATGTAATTTGTCTAACATAACATATAAAAAGCCCTTAGGGCTCGTTTGATAGTTGCTGATTGGGTTAAAGCTGACTGGGTTAGAAGCTGACTGGGTTAGAAATGCTGATTGAGTCAATATCTGACTGAGTTTATGTTGTTTGATTATTTATCTGAATGGTTGTGCTGAATGAAAAAATGACCATATTACCCTTTTGTTGTCTCTTGTGCTGGATAAAAAAATTATAAAACCACAAATTATCATATAAAATCCAAATTAAACATACATCAATTAAAATCCAAATACAAAGTGTAATACAAAATCCAAATACAAATTGTCATACATAATAAAAAAAGTACACCATTTAACGTGAACCATTTGAAAATAACTGATTAGCAATCTGATCACGCAAATTAGTCATATAGTTAACGGCTTCTGAACCCCATTCTATGCCTTCTATGTTTTGACCCTCATTTCCTCCACCACCCACATTATGACTAACCATAGTGTTTTGTTCAAAGTTCGTAAATAATTCATCTTCAATATCGTATTTCCTTATAAAATTATGGACCGCAAACAAGAAATGACTATGTCTCTTTGCACTGGAAAAGGATAAGGAGCCATTTGTTTTAAAATTTGAAATCTCGCCTTCAATACACCATAAGCACGTTCAATGTAATTTCTAAGTTGTGCATGAGCATGATTGAACATTTCTTCCTTAGTCAAAGCTCTGTTTCTTCGAAAATCGGCTAACCAATACCTAGTATTGCGGTAGGGAGCCATAAATCCACGGGTGTTGGTGTATGCGGCATCACAAAGGTAATATTTATCTGTAGATGCATGACAAATTTATCATATAAATAATATAGATAATAAAACGTATAGTAAAGTTACAAACCTGGTGGAGGGAATGGAAATCCGGAAGTTGGGTTAAATGCAACTTCTTTCAAAACTTTAGAATCATGTGCTATGCCCTCCCATCCAGCCCATACAAAGGTGAATATCATATCAAAATTACAAATTCCAATTACATTTTGATAACATTCACCTTTTCCTCTTCCCCTATAACGAGTTTGTTGATCAACAGGCACAACTGCATGTACAAGTGTTCCATCTAGTGCACCTATTGCTCCGGGAAATATTTGCATTAGCCGTCTATGTCGTTCTGAGGTATTTGTTGTTGAATTAGACGAGGTTGGTACTATAATTTCTCGTGCAAAACACATCATTGCACGTAAGACCTCATGAAAACATTGATGAATCGTTTGTGTGGAGTGATGAAATCTTTCTTTAACGGCTCGAAAACGTTCATTATGTCCTATAACATGTAAAAACATAGCCATCTTCTCTTCAACGCTTATCGTCCTACTAGATTGCAACCAATTTCTTTGTGTAAAGTGATTGCATAATAGTACAAATGCATCTTGTGAAAGACGTATCATATCGTAACATTGTATAGGACATCCGTGTATCAAATCTTGCGTATACACATATCCCTTTGCTACCTGTTCGCTAGCTCTTATTCTTTTAATTATTCTTTGCCTTTGTCGGACCAACATCAACCAATACCACGAGAATATAAGAAAATATAAAAAGTCACCTTCTTTATCCATGTGTCCTGTTAGATGTCAAATACAAATTACATTTTAATCAATAACATAACAATCAATAACATAACAATCCATAACATAACAATCAATAACATAACAATCCATAACATAACAAATCGTAACATGTAAATACGAAAAACATAACATTCCATAACATATAAAATCATATAACATAACCGCACCTAAGAAAAACAATCTATAACATAACTAAACCATAGAATACTAATGTCTAACAATGAACCATAACATACTAAAGTCAAACATAACATGTAAATACTAAAGTCAACCAACTAATCCAAACTTTTTTCCTGCATTTGTTACCCACGACTCACAAGTTGACAAGTTAAGACGCAACCAAATTTTCCTATTACCAGCACTTTCAGCAAATAACATAAGAGCAGTGGTGTATTTCGGATCATATTCTCCCCACTCCAAGCTTGTCAACTTCGCCATACAAGCATCCATCTCCTTGTCAAGATTATTTGCTTCGGTGAATGCTTGTGCAGCCTTGATAATCTCTTTTCCAACTTCTTTCAACTCATCATCAAGTGTGGTTTCTTTAGGACCATTTCGTTTGCCCCCCTTGTTTTTTGTCCGCCCAGATGATTCCTCACTAGTAGGTTGAGGTACTGTTGAGCTTGGGGTATCTGCATGAGGTGTTGGCTCATCCATCTCTGTATCCTCAAAATCATGTGTACTGAAGGTTTCATTGGGATGAGGTAATGTCGAAGATGGCCCCCAACTGTGAACACCGGTCGAGGTCGCCCTATCAAATAGTTGGGTACAAAGTTCAGGGCAAGGGAGGGGTGCATTTCTCAGCTTATCTACGTACTTGTTCAACTGTTTAACAAATTTAATAAATATTATTAAAGTAGTAAAAAAATAATATACTTTAAAAAATATGTATATATGTACCTTCGCTTCCGCTTCCCATTCTTCATTAGTCATGTTAAAAGAATTCGTAACGGGATTATAAATATTTCCTGTTTTGTTTTTAAGTTTTAACCACACTGCATATTTTGCTTTTAAATAGTCATATCGGTTTTTCATTTGTTTTTTGTCGACAATAAAATTATGATCTGTTTTCAATTTCTCCGCGACCACAGCCCATGAGCTTGCTTTTAGTCCGCTACCCTCCCGGCCATTTCTTGTTAATTCTTGTATACATGCTTCTAAAAAAGTTTTGTCCACCAATTCCGACTTCCAACTAACCCTAATTCTTTTGTCTGCCATATCTATTGTAAAAAGAAAAAAAATCTAATCATCCACATAACACACATTTACAAACACTATTTGCTTGATGTCAATAAGATAAAATATATATATTTTTTTGTTTAACCTAAAGTTAATACAACTTGAAGACAATACTTGGGAGATATCATATACACAGTACATAACTTGAAGACAAGATCTCATATATCAGTTTGGTAATACACATACACCTATGTAACAAATTCTAATCATTCTCTTGAGCATTTTGATCTTACACACATATGCACATAAACATATCATATACACACACAGTAAACAATTAATTCGATTTAACAACTATATAAGGGGCTGTGATTTCACACATTAGTTCATACAAATTTCATACACAAGCAATTCATTCCTTCATATAGATAAAATCAGATTTCATAAACAATTTGACAGCAAACACTAATTTGACAGCAAACATTGGTAATACACATACACCTATGCCAACCCTTTGTTCTAATTGAATCCAAAAATAATGAAAGAAGTAATTTCAAACACTAATTTCATAATGAAATCATCAATTTGACAGCAACTTTTGTGATTTCAGAAAAAAAAAAAAAAAAAAGGCACGAACTAGCGTACCTACAGTCGATCTGCTCACAGGGGCTGTTACTTCGCCGGAGCTGTTACTTCGCCGGACAGGAGGTTCGCCGGAAGCTGGAGGTAATCGTCGATTTGTCAGCAAACATTGAAGGGGCTTTGTGATTTCAGAAAAAAAAAAGCACGAACAAGCGTACCTGAAGTCGATCTCCTCACCGGGGCTGTTACTTCGTCGGCGCCGGAGCTGTCACTTCGTCGGCGCAGGAGGTTCGCCGGAAGCCGGAGGGAATCGTCGATGAAGCTGTTGCTGCGTTGCGCTGAATGTTGAAGGAAAAGGAAGAATAGCGGCGATTTGTGTTAGGGCGCAGGAGAAGAAAAATCTTGGTCAGCCTCTTTTTTTTTTGGACTGAGTCAGCTCCTTGGTCATTGATTACTTACCGAGTCAGCCACAATGGAAGCCCATCAAACAGTCTGACTACTGACCGGGTCAGCAGTCAGCTCTGACCAGACTGGGTAAGTGCAAATCAAACGACCCCTAACTTTATTGTAGGATGTTATGTTAATATGAAGTTTAAGAGTCATTGAACTCTTCCGATAAAAATAAAATCTTTTAATTATTAAAAGCATTTTCATTGATCTTTGTAGAGTTCATACACTATAGAACAATTAGTATAAAGTTGTATAGAAAGTAAAATAACAATGTATCAATCCATTAAGCTCTAATAAGTTCAGAACCTTATGGATGCCTAAGAATTAGTAGAAATATCAAAGAATCAAAACTCTTGAAAGATTATTGATATCGAAAACAATCTCAAATATATTTAAGAAACCATTCAAAATTATTAAAAAAAAAAAAAGTTCTAAGAATTATTAATAAGCGTTATACATTTACCATTTAATTTATTCTTGGAGACGACAATTAATTAGATGCAACACCAAAGGCTTCAGGCAATTAGTTTGGAGCTCTGCGGGGATGAAACCCTAGGACTTGATAGAGTTACATTTAATTTGGAATGTGCTCAACCGAATGTAGTTTATTTTGTGAAGGCCTTTCAAAATTTCATAATTATTCGTAGACGATGTAATTTTTCCTTCATAGCCTTGATTCCAAAAGCCACTATTTGTTGTTTTAAATAGATTGTTTACTCATTTATCCTACCTAATAAATAAATATGCCACATGATATTTTTATAATTTTTTCAATTCCATTTAAATTCATTTGGCAAAATTTGGTTTTTATTTAAATTATAAAAAAATATAATCTAAAAATATAATAAAGAAAATAAGAAAACTTAAATGTCTATATAAATTCTCATGTAATTTATCAATTAATGTATTAAATTCAAATCAACTTTCTTAATTGAAAAACATAATTTTTAACCTATCCCTTTTGAATTTACGATAATTTAAAGAGCCTTGCAAAAATTGTTTCGTTCACAGCTAATATTGATATTTTTTTTAGATTCAGTTTTATAAATTATTAAACATGTAATGTTTAATAAAATATATTAATTAAAAAAAATTTATGTATTATGCGTCATTTATATATCAAAAATACACGGATATCACATCGAGTTGGATGCCATATACGATTATTACAAAATTGTTTGGCAAATCGGTTAAGTAGTTTGATAGGGAGATTCTTAATTGAACTAAATGAGTTATGGGCTACAATTATTTTGGCTGTTCATGATTTTAAGGGGATTTTGTTAGATTTGAGGATTGTACATCCATAAAATGATTTAAAAAGGTTAAAGTTTCAAGTTGTTTGGAGCAACATTCTTGGTTATTTTATACAATTCCAACAACAAAATCATAGATGTAGCAAGGTTGCGCAAGAGACGTTTGATGTAGTTATCCTTTACGATTTTTTCGCCGGTTTTGAAATTCAAATGTCCTTGCTTTTTGGCACATCTAACGTGACAAAAATAATTTCATTCTTATTTTTGGTTTTCAACTCCTTGCTTATTTATTTATTTATATTTTATTTCAATCATCATCCGATTTCAAGAAAAGAAAAACAAAAAATTCCCTAAAATGAAAAGGTATAAACCTTATAAAAAGTTGGCTGAAAATTTAATCTTTTTATACAATTAAAAAAATATTTTGTTTTGGAAATAAGATCAATGGAAAGAGAGAAACAAATCAAATCATGGAAAGTTGGCCAAACATATACACACTCTTTCTCTCTCCCTCTTCCCAAATCAAAAAATATTCCTTCTTACCAGACAAGATTGGGACATGAAATAAAACCATATCTTCATCAAATCAATTCTCAATTATTAATTTCCTTCCTTTAAATCTTGTTGAGTTGTTTCCACTCATCTTTTTTCCTTTCTTTTATTTTTTTTATTATTATCCCCTGCTAATTAAACAATAACAATCATATTGTCAACCAAAAGCTTAAAACAAATCAAAACAACCCACTTTTACAAAACCAAAAAAAAAGTAAAATTCCATCAATTTTCAACCATACTTGTTTAGGAAATTAGCTCAACAATAACTATTCTTCTAAAAATCAATATTTATTCAATCTAATTTGAGAACATATTTCAATTGTGTATATTTATAAAATTAAGAAATATTTTCACATCCGGCAGGGGTAAAATCGTCGTCATTTTACATGTTTGTTACAAAACTTTCTTACCCTGATTCATAATTTATTTACCCTAAAAATTAATTATTTTTTCTAAAAAAGGAAAAGAAAAAGAGAGAAATACATCAGAAATTTAGAATCATATCAAAATTGTAATATCTGTAAATTCATTGAAGAAGAAGTGGAGAAGCCATAGAAAAAAAAAAAAAAAAAAAAAACAACTTTTAAATGTACAAGTACTTGCCTTACTTGTCTATGATGTAATTAATAAAAGATGAAAATATGAAAAGGGAAATTTGAAAAATATTAGGCTTGATCGGAGTGATCGTAGTTGGTCACCTTAAGCCGCATTGTTGGGGACTCTAGTTGTGACGGAGAAAAGGGTGGCGACGTCGGAGGTGTTGATGATGTTGATGATGATGATGTCGACGGAGATTGTGGCGGAGATGGGGAAGTTGAGGGAGAGACCATCGGCGGAGATGGGGATGTTACAGGTGACACCGTCGCCGGCGATGGCGAGGCGGACGGAGACACCGTTGGCGATGACGGCGATGGCGATGGTGAAGGTGAAGGCGAAGGGGAAGGGGAAGGGGAAGCGGAAGGGGAAGTTTCAGACATTTGTTGAAGTTTTCTTTTGTTGAGACTTCCTTTTTCTTCTTTGTTGTTGATGTCATTTGTAGGGATTGTTCCTCGGTTTTCACCAAACATGTAATCTTTCAATCGTTTGACGTCGGAAAGTTTTACAGGCTTTACAATGAAATCCTCCGCACCTTCTTCCAAACACCTGAAAATGATGACATTTGTCTATTCAAATTTTCCGATCCTAAATTCACGATTAAAAACTACTTCAATCAACTGATGAAGGGGAAGATGAATATGATAGCAATTGAAAGAAGTAACAACTGATTAAATGATCTTCCATGAATAGTTGTCGTTTACTAAAAATGGAGAAAAACAGTACCTGTCAATCCGTGCTACGACGTTTTCTGACGACATGATCACTACTGGCACCTCTCGGAAAGTTGCTGAACCCTGAATCACCAAACAATCGGAAGAAGAAAATAAGAACATGAATGTAGAGAAATTGAAACGAAAATGTAACGAATTAGGGATTACGAACCTTGATTTTTTTGAGCAATTCGTAACCAGTCATTCCAGGCATACAGTAATCAGTGATTATCAGATCCACCTTCAATTCCTGAACAAATTTGTGGAGTTATTTTAGATCTATGGAAATTTCAGCCTTCAAAATCGAAAACGATATGAGAATTAATCTCACATTGACGAAATCAGATGAGGATTTCTCCTGATCAAGGCCTAAGTATTGCAAAGCTCTCCAACCGCTTTCCACCGCCGTGACTGTTACAGTTTTAAAAACTCCGTCAGCCGATGATTTCTCCGGCGGAAAAACAGAATACGAGAGAAATGAAATCTACCTTTACATGAGGTGATTTTAAGTAAACGTTCAATGACTTTCCGATCAACGAGGCTATCATCAACAGCAAGAACATGAACATCATCAAATTCGGTGGTGGTGGTCTCGGATGATGACCTCCATCGTCTTGAAAACAAAGCGTTTCTTGCCATGAGTGGAGGAATTGGTGGGATAAGGATTTGAGAAAGGAATTTTTGATATATAAATGGAGACGACAGAGAGCCACGTCTCCATCAACGAGATGATGACATTGTAGAAGATCATGAAAATCTGATGAAATCTACTTTAATTTTTTAAGAAAATACGCTGAGATTCTGAAATCCACTTTGGTGGTGACCCCTTTGATTTTTTGTTATTTTTTTTTTTCACTTTTTCTTCTCTACCCCCACATGTGTGTGTTCTTGACTTCATCAATATATCAAATGAAATGAAATGAAATCAAATCTTCTCTCTCTTCCAATATATTTGTTTCCCTCTTTTTATGTGAAATCACAATGGATTAGGATCAAATCATGTATTTTTGGTATGGGATGAGCTTGATTAGGTGTCTTTAATTTTTATTAAGTAATAAAATATTATTGTAAGAATTGTAAAAGTGATTTACCTTTTTCAATCAAAACAATTTATCTAAGTTATATATAACTTATTTAGACTATGCTTGAGGTAGTTACTAATAAGCTAACTGATATTAAAAAGTTAGTCGATAAAAATGATATTTGGTAAAACTAATTGAAATATATAAAACCATATAAAAGTAAATTTTAAAAAATATATATTTTATAATAATTAAAGGGTATTTTTCAAAAATCTTAAGAAAAGCTCTTCAAAAGTTAATCTATATATCTTTTTAAAAAACTAGCTTACAAAGTAAGGAGAAAAGTCTCGAACTTTTTCAAAAGTTTCAATAAAATCCTAAAAAAAAATTTAACAAAAAAATCCTAATATTTTGAAAAAAAATCACATAATCTATTATTTATTATTCAAATATAAAAATGACTTTTTCGTTAATTTAGGCAAAAAAATCAAAATATTGAGATTTTTCTGTTAAATTTTTTTTTTAGGCAAAAAAATCAAAATAAAAGAAAATTTTAAAAAATATATATTTTATAATAATTATAGGGTATTTTTCAAAAATTTTAAGAAAAGCTCTTCAAAAGTTAATCTATATATCTTTTTAAAAAACTAGCTTACAAAGTAAGGTTATCTACAGAAAAGTCTCGAACTTTTTCAAAAGTTTCAATAAAATCCTAAAAAAAATTTTAACAAATAAAATCCTAATATTTTGAAAAAAAATCAAATAATCTATTATTTGTTATTCAAATATAAAAATGACTTTTTCGTTAATTTAGGCAAAAAAAAATCAAAATATTGAGACTTTTCTGTTAAATTTTTTTTAGGAATTTATTGAAACTTTTGAAAAAAAAAAATTATACTTTTCTATAGATAACATTATAAAATACTGGTTTACCAAACATATTAAAAAAAAAAAAAAAAACTCAAAAATTAATTAGGTTATCATCTAGCTAGTTGTAGCTAGTCAAACATAGTCTTACTAAAGAATATAATATTTTTAACAACATTAAACATTATTTGATAAAATATAAATATAAATATAAATTAAATAATAAGTAAATGGATTGGAATTGTAAATTTTACGCTAAAGAAATGGATTGCTTAGTTGAAATTTTTGAGAACTTATAGTGTCAAGAAAACGTGAATAAAATATTTTCTGCTAACTTAAATAAACAAATATATATTAAGACGTACGTATATAAATATATTTGTAAATAAATATACATATACACTTTGGTTCTGTACACACATGAACTAATAGTTGTGCACAAATACACATTCCTGACCTCGTTTAGTTAATAATGAATTTATGGATTATCACATTCGCCATCAAACAAAACACTCTGTTTGTAATATATTTATACAGTTATAATAAAATAAATACAAGACAAATTCATAATAATCCATTAAATATAAGAGCTATTTTTGAAGATATTTAAAATTAGAAAAAAAAATATATACAAAATATTATATGTGGTGTAAATAATGGTGAATTATTTTAAATATGAATAACAAATTGTAAAAATATTGCATCATCTTGATGAAAAAAAAATATTGTAGTCTGGAAATAACTTTAAACATGTTTTTTTTTTATAATTTTTTATAATTTTTTTTTTTATTTTTATTATTAAGTGTAGTCATAGAGTTTACAAGCAACCCATAATTCTAAAATTCTTATGTTTTATGGTTTCTCTATTTTCATTATAAATCATGTTAAATCGGGCTTGTTAAAATTATATTATTATTATTATTATTATTATTATTATTATTATTATTATTGTTTTTTTTTTTTTATAAATCATGTTAAATCAGACTTGTTAATAATATATTCTATTCTCAACTGTATTTGTTACATTTTAATATAATTTTGTCACGCGTTATATGTGAATCTTGAACATTTTACAATTGTGGTTACAAATGTCGTGAAAGCTTGAAATAAGGACATGGTTGTTTTTTAAAAGAAAACATGCATTGAAGTGCACTTACATGAAAGTGACGACTACATGATTATTATTGAATGTTCGGGTATAAATCATGGTATAGCAACATAATTTTTAATAATAATTATACTTATGTTGAAAACTTTTTTAGATACTACGTTATTATATTTAGAAAAAGCATCTTGCCTAATTATCGGGTAACCGATTGAAGGAGTCATATGTTTACATTGTTAGCATGTATTTATACTGTTTTTTTAAGCCTTTTAAGTTGAGTGTTTTTTTCATAGATATGTTTGCCCTAATTGTTTTCTATTTATAGCTTTGTTTCTTTTCATTGTATGTACAATCCGATTGATAAGAAACGTTAGCCGTTTTGGCTCTCAATCTTCACAATGAACCTAATTTCATCCATAATTTTTAAGTTTGATGGTTAAATATGTTGGAAAATTTAGTATAAATATTTATATTTTTATTAACTTTGGACATATATAAATATATACATATGTTTTATATATAACTAACTCTAAGTGGGTTTGCGTTCTCCTCCACAAGGACTTCGAAACAATATATTATATGTCAAAAATTGAGTATATGTGAATGATATATCGGTACTTAAAGAAGGGTATTTGAGAATAAATTTAACAAAAAGAGATGGGTGTAGGAATGAGTCCCGCATTGGTAGAACGATCAAACTCAACAAGGTTTATAAGCTTGAATGCATGAAAAGCTTACAAGCTTGGTTTTATGATTTTACTATAATTTCTACTTGTAGGCAAGGGGGGTGCAAATCTTGGATTTCGTAGACCATAAACACCGAACTTGTGCATGGGCGCGACCTTTTAAACCATAGAACCAAAAAACCAATCATTTCTCAACTTTTAGAGTATATTTTTTATAACAAATAAAAAAAACTAAAAAATATAGAAATTCATAATTTTTTATTCTTTTTCCATTGATATCAAATTCGATAATTTTTTCTTTTTCGTTTTTGATCTGTTCAGATTTATACTGTGAATTTGCACAGCGTGGATTCACAGTGTAAATCTGAACAGATTAAAAAAGTTATTGAATTTGATATCAATGAAAAGAGAATAAAAAGTTATAAATTAGATATCTTTAGGGTTTTTTTTTCGATTAAGAATTAGATCTAAAACATAAAAATACAATGGTTCATTGGTTCTAAGATTTAAAATATTTCTTTGTTGCTCTTTTATATATATATATATATATATATATATATATATATATATATATATATATATATATATATATATATATATATATATATATATAACGATCTAAAATATTTATGAACATATCTTTGATGTTACCCAAAAATGATCCAAATATATCGAGATCGCTTTACTTAGGTGGAAATGATTGTAGGATCTTATGACTAATATCATTATTTTAGCAACCTTGGTGTATTCTATTTTGTTGGGTGTGAATGTGTTCTCGTTTTATATTTGATTTTAATGATTATTTCTTTAGGTGTGTCTCGTATTTTTCATCTACTCTAGACTTGAAATTAATGTTTCTCTTCGATTAGTTGGACATATGTCAAGAAAAACATTTTGCGTCGTCATGTTATTGGAACACAGATGACCAATTTGTTTTGCGTCTCATTTATTAGCATATATTTCATACAAAAACATGATATTATATAAAAGAATTATTCTACTATGATGCCATTTTAAATTTATTGTATAGATGTTAAATTCAAAATACATCAAGACAAACATGATTAGAGGAAATTTTGATTTTTTGAAAATGAAGTTTCGAAAATTAATTATTTGCATCATTTTTATATAGTTGTTTTAAACTAACATAGTGAAATTGAAGAAATTAAGGAATTATATGGTACAACTAGTCGGAGCATTTTAGTCTTTATGATGTTGTGTGTTGCTTACGTACTACACATGGGAAATAATGTTCCAATTTTAGATAGTGTAAACTCTTAGTTAAGGAATCGTTTTCTATTAAGAACATGAGAGATGATATCATACATCTTTGGCAACAAGATCGATTGGGACATATTTGAAATGCTAAACATGTTAAGCCAAAAGGTTCGTAGATTATATCTGAAAAGAGTCAAAACTCCAAAAGAGTTTATACTTATGTAGTATGGTTTAGAGTTGTGTTGTTCCATTAATAAGATGGATGAATTCTCATATGCTTCATTAATATATATATATATATATATATATATATATATATATATATATATATATATATATATATATATATACCTCTCATATATCAGACTAAAACAATAATAGTATGTGCAAAAAAAGCCATCATGAGATGTTGTGCAGTCAAGTTGGGCCCTTCCCTTTGAAACTAGAAATACCTGAAATATTTAAACCACAAAACCGTTAGCACAAAGCTTAGTGAATTCCCTAAAATACTACATATCATACATAATATAGTGCATGATATGGGCCAAGTCAAAGTCATACAGTCACTTACTGCTATGGGTCAAATCATGGTCTTTCCCTGAAATATAGTATGCCAAATCCGGCCTTACATACATGTTTCAGGAGCCACCACGTGGTCTTCCATGTAAGTATAATAAAGATAATTAACATGCTACATACAAATGCTAAGGGCCAAATCCTGGTTTTACATATAGTTGTCAGGGGCCAGATCCTGGTCTTTCATACAATTATATGAGACCAAATCCTAGTGTTTCATACATATGCCAATGGGCACAACCTAGTATTCGATGCAACTATCATAAAGACAACTAACATCCTACATAGAATAGTGAGAAGACTCATCTCGCAGATATAGTCAACATCTAATATTTCTCACACCCAATGAATGGGTGATATACACTTGCTAATAAATCACACAAGGTAAACCCTTAGCCCAACTTCCAAAACTAGTCAATTAACAAAAATTAAACCAAGGTCAAAAGTGTTACGTCATGATTTTCAAGGCAAAATTTTCATTTTTATTTATTCAGAATACAAGTCTTACACTTGTTATATTATATATTTAACTAGGTTAATACCCATGTGTTGCACATAATACAACAATATATTTGAAATCTTTACAA